GCTGCCTTCCCTCTAGTCTTACACTGCTAAATTAGGGACGGCTAGTGCAGATAACCCTTGTGTAGCTTTGCGCGAAATTCATAACAAAACAAACATGCTTGACCCAATCGAACCTTTTTTTAATACATGTCCAATTTAGAATAGAGAATCTCTGTAAACGTCTACAAACTTCCATAAGTAGATAAGTTTCTGTAAAAGATAAACATGTGTTTTAGGGATAATTTCTTCTAACGGTAAACAAACAGACAGCGTAAAAATAATTACAGCTAACTGTCTCTATCTCTCTACAAAGATTTACTCTGACCGTTCGAGACATTGTTCGTAGCTCCATCTGTCGACTACCAGTTTTTTGCCTCAGGATAAGTCTGGAAATAACGTTATAAATCTCGAGGCAAGGTAATTTTCAATTCCATAAATACCGTCTAGACTTCCGTTCTCTATTCCTTGAGTTACAGAGTATTATGTATGTTACTTTTGAAGTCTGTAAAAACAGCATGCTTAGAATGTTATATCTTCATTGATCTGAACAAATCTCATTTCGCTGCAAGAACGTAGAAATCAATTTCTTAGGACACATCTCATCATTGTATGCATGCAACTTGATATATCAGATCCAAAGATACTTTCTGTTCCATTAATTTTGTTTCAAGTTCTCTTTGAATTCCAGTTCTGGCTTAGGGTTGACTCAAAGAAGTTCCATAAACTAGTCCATAAAGTAACGATACCAGACATATCCAATCCTATGTATAACCTTTAAATAAATAATCAAAAGAAGGCAAGTTTATGTAGCGTCTCTTGAAATATTCTGTTCGCTCATTCTTTCAGCTAATATTCAGTCGATTTCACTTTCTTATAAGAAAAAACACGTGCAGGGGAGAGTTAACTAATTTAAAATGAACCAGTTATTTGTTTTACTGAATACATTTTTTTTGGCTACAAAAACTCCGAGTTCTGGTTGAAAATACGCGTTATTAGTCAAAGAAAATGGTCATAACAACCAGTTATTCAGATTTACTCTTGTGCAGGAGAACGATATTAATTTTTAGCCTGATTTATACAGTTTTCAACTTTGACAAGCTTTACGGATAGAACAGTGTCTTTACAGAGATGCCATCTGCGCCCTCTGGTGTACGAATTGAAAACAAGACTGGAAGAAGTTTGACTGTGGCCTGGAGGAAACCTTTTGATGGGTACAGCGCCATCACACGCTACAATGTTGAATACACTTCAGACGTATCAGGTGAGTTCAAATGTTCAGTGGGAAACCTTTTTTTGTGAAAAACATCACATCCAATCCTGTGTAACGTTAATGTAAGATCTGTTGACATTATGTAACATAGCAATCTATTGTATACCTATGCTATCAACACACGTTCAGAAAACCTTTTTATACTTTTAAAAACTAGTTAACTATCAATAGATGAATGAACTGATATCAATTTGAACTAAAAACTCCGTAAAAAATATTTATTTAAGGACATACATGGCACCCCTATACCATCGTTATTTAATTGTAATGTTTGTGAAAGATCGTGTTTGTCAGTTAGTGAGTATCTAGTCTATACGGCACCCCTATACCATCGTTATTTAATTGTAATGTTTGTGAAGGACCTTGTTATATCAGTTAGTGAGTATCTAGTCTATACGGCACCCCTATACCATCGTTATTTAATTGTAATGTTTGTGAAGGACCTTGTTATATCAGTTAGTGAGTATCTAAGTTTATACGGCACCCCTATACCATCACTATTTACTTTTTGAAGTTGAACTGTATTCATACTCGTCTAGAAGATGAAAACAAACACTCCAAGCAGTTCTGGTTTTTTCTATTGTTTATAGAGAAAGCACTGCAGCCACAGTCGAATTTCGAGAAAACTTTTTTTGTAAAAGAGACTTCGTTATATTACGAAACTTACAAAATACAAACAGAAAAATTGGGCTATAAGTACCAAGTATTTAAGCTAGGTCATGCTGCTGAAGTTTTCAATTAGAAAATGTGCTCTGCCCTCCACGGATATCGAAACCCGGTTTCTAGCGTTGTAAGTCCGCAGACATGCCGCTGTGCCACTGGGGGAGATAACTATATAAAGGACATCATCACATTTTGCACTATAGTTTAGTAACATTTTTTCAAATGTTGTTAAAAGTAAATATGAAGCTCGTTTGCGGAATAATAGATAATAATAAATTAATAGCATTATTGCTAAATATTTTACTAAGTCTATAATGTATAGAGAGACAAAAACAGCTAAAATCACCATTCATATAATGATTTTGTTGTTATTTTAAAAGTTTAAATTAAAACCGCCTGCAGTATTGCTGATTCTCACCAGGTGTATTTAAGTTTTATCCGCCACTTACCACTGTAACCAGCAATAAATATTCAGTGGTATAGAAGATGGTTACCCACACTGCAAAGTCCTCTCATTCAAAACATTTCCTAAGAAGAGGAGACAAGAAGGAGGCGGGTTTCTCCTATGTAGATAGACTCCAGTAGCACCTTAGCTCCGGTGATGGAATTTCTTAATTTTCTTGGCTTATATTCCTTATATATTTCTTCGGTGGAATGGCTGGAATCTTTCTTCAGATCAAGACACAAAAGATGATCAGATAATCCTTCTATGACTTTTTCATACCATTTTAGATGGGCTAGTGGTGGTTCAAGATTTTCATCATCACCATCATTTCCAGTTGCCTAAAGCCCATCCACTTTGATCAGGGGGGGAGGCTGCAGACGTCCATTCAGTAGACTATTTTTATGTGACTATCAGCTGCTCATTATTTCCTGAGTTGGCATTGTTCACTTCAAAGAATGGTAATTGTTTTTGGGTTTTTTCAAGTTTTCACTGCAGCCACTCTGGACCTATTTCCCCCATTGTACTTTTCGAATGATCATATTCCAGAATCTCATCTTTTCTGATTTCATAACCGAGGAGATAAAGTTGCACCATCATCAAGTGAAATATATATCCATCCTAACTGAAGTTTGCGTCACTCCATGCCAGATAGTGAAGAATATAAAAACATTTGCTGATATAAGCAGTTGCTAGTTTCTGTCCATCCTTGTTATATTCCATACTGAGTTGTACATTAGAATTATTTTGGATAAGTACACACAGTGGGTTTCTATTGCTTTCTGTGGTTATCAATGCCAGTTTTTAGGGGATATTTCCTCCACCTAAGGATTCCATTATGCTACTGTACTGCCAAATACAGGTTAACAAATTCATTACTGCTACTACAGTACTTCCAAATACAGGTTGATAAACCAACTATTGCTACTACTGCACTGCCAAATACAGGTTAATAAATCCATTACTGCTACTACAGTACTTCCAAATACAGGTTTATAAACCAACTATTGCTACTACTGCACTGCCAAATACAGGTTAATAAATCCATTACTGCTACTACAGTACTTCCAAATACAGGTTTATAAACCAACTATTGCTACTACTGCACTGCCAAATACAGGTTGATAAATGTACTACTGCTGCTACTGTACTGCCAAATACAGGTTGATAAACCAACTATTGCTGCTACTGTACTGCCAAATACAGGTTAATAAATTCATTACTGCTACTGTACTGCCAAATACAGGTTAATAAATTCATTACTGCTACTACAGTACTTCCAAATACAGGTTGATAAACCAACTATTGCTGCTACTGTACTGCCAAATACAGGTTAATAAATCCATTACTACTAAACATCTCTGATAGTCCTTCCTTTTCTTTGACTTGTTTATACCACCAGAATGTACACCCTTGTGAATGACTGAGAAACTCAAGATATCCAGACATCAGTGTGCGTGTTTTTCAACACGAGCTCAAGCCAGAAGCCTTTCTAGGATTGGTGTCAGGTGTTTTAGATGTCATACCAAACAGTTTTAAGTTATTTGGCCAGTAGCCTAACACCATGTCGAAATAACTGATCCAATGACCACTTACTATGGTCTCCAGGTACTTGTCTGTCATTGGTAGGGAAGAATACTTACCATAGTTACTGCATTACTTCCCAGAAATGCCTTTCCATTTTTCACAATGGTAACGGAAGATAACGAAGTCCCTTGCAAGATTGGACGATTCCTCTTGGCGGTTGTGCTACATTATTCTTTACCAAAATATATCCATAGATATAAAACTCCATACATTAAGTTTGGGTGTAATTATCTTACCCATCGTATATACTGGTCTCAGATGTTATCGGATTCATTTTTTTTTATTCCTCCTCCAATTTCTATCTCTCGGTGTGTGATAGAATGACAACTTAATAGGAGAGCCTGGTATACAAATAGTACCAATGGCATCCTATGAGCTTGAAGAAAATAAATCATTGGACCAATGGCAGTTTAGATATGAATTATTTTAATCTAAAATTTAAAAACATGTGCGAACAACTATAAAAGAGGAAGCTTCCTAGCATAGCTGTTCTATTCTTGACTCTATGTCTACATTTAACTGGTAAAAACCTGGTAAAAGATGTAATAAGAACAGGATAGGAACGACTAAACAGGTTCACGTTCCTGGTTGCAGCTTAAATACTGGCAACTCAGCTTGGTATGAGAGGGTAGGATAAACAAAGTTCCAAATCTGGATGGTGAGGAACATGTACATCTCCATCCTTTTAGTCTTTCTGTTTGTTTGTTAAACTTTGCTGCATTCCCTCTAGTCTCTCGCTGCTAAATTAGAGGCGACTATCGCAGATAGCCCTCGTGTAGCTTTGCGCGATATTCAAAACAAACCAAACCATCCTCCAAACAAGCCTGGTGATTGAGATCGCGGTTTTCGAACCCCTTTTATCGAACATGCTCACCATTTTAGCCATGGGAGCGTTATTTATGTGTTGGTCAATCACACTATTCGTTGGTAAAAGAGTATCCAAGAGTTGGCGGTAGGTGGTGTTGACTAGCTGACTATCACTTCAACATTAAGGACGACTAGCGCAGATAACCCTCAAGTAGTTTTGCGCAAAGTTGGAATCAAACTCGTCTTGCAACAGACTAAAGGTTAAGTTGAAATCAAACTCGTCTTGAAACAGACTAAAGATTAAGTTGAATCAAATTCGTCTTGAAGCAGACTAAAGGTTAAGCTGAATCAAAGTCGTCTGGAAACAGACTAAAGGTTAAGTTGAAATCAAACTCGTCTTGAAACAGACTAAAGGTTAAGTTGAAATCAAACTCGTCTTGAAACAGACTAAAGGTTAAGCTGAAATCAAACTCGTCTTGAAACAGACTAAAGGTTAAGTTGAAATCAAACTCGTCTGGAAACAGACTAAAGGTTAAGTTGAAATCAAACTCGTCTGGAAACAGACTAAAGGTTAAGTTGAAATCAAACTCGTCTTGAAACAGACTAAAGATTAAGCTGACTTCTAAACAGGTAATGAACCACTTTGATTAATGCAAGTTTTTTCTCCTCAATCAAGAATAACATTCGTAAGAAATCATTACCTCTGCAAGGACAGAATTACTCATTGTTGTCTTAATTTGTCGGATGTTGTGACCTTTAATTTTTCTTACTTTAACCGGGCCGGCATGGCCAGGTGGTTAGGACGCTCGACTCGCAATCTACGGGTTCGAATCCCCGTCCCACCAAACATGTTCGCCCTTTCAGCCGTGGGGGCGTTATAATGTGACAGTCAATCCCACAATTCGTTGGTAAAAGAGTAGCCCAAGAGTTGGCCTTCCCTCTAGTCTTACACTGCTAAATTAGGGACGGCTAGCGCAGATAGCCCTCGTGTAGCTTTGCGCGAAATTCAAAACAAACTTACTTTAACCTTGCCGTCGCCTCGGTTACGTTTCTTACACCGATAATACCATTTTTCAGGTATAAATGACATAGCTGTAGAATAATTACTCTACTGGTTACTTAAACAGTCACCATCGGACGCTCTCACTCTATTACTTTCATCGAACACATCCTTTGTCATTTTGTTAAACAGTGAGTTTTTTCCTTGTGGTGTTACTTAACGTGGTATATAGAATTATTATGGTTACGTTTTTTGTATCCTTATCATGGATATAAACCAGTAAATAATTTAAACAGAGAATCGGGCTAGGACGTTTTATTCTGTATTTCATTTATCGTCTCAAAAACCTTTTCAACGTTATTTACAAAAATCACAACTTTTGATGAGATTTCATGATAAAGACCCAGCAAATAACAAATTTGACAAAATCAGCCAGTAATTCATTTGTAGTAGAGACAAAAAAACCAGTAGTTTTCAATCTTTTTTAGGGTAAAAGTATTAGTATTAATTCTTTCAGTCAGAAGGGTGCCTTATGCGACAGATGTGCTAGATGCCCAAATAAGAGATCCTTAATTTTCATGCATTGCCAGACCTAACTTAGAACTGTCAATCAGAGGAAGGGCGACCAATCAGAAGTATTCATCGCCTATAACTGTTAATCCAATAGTGGGATTTACTAGCATAGTGATAAAGCCCTCACACCTAAAAGTGCGGAACACGTTCAGTGACACACCAAGGTTCGAACCTTGGATCTAAATCGCGGCCTGAAACGATAACTAATGGACCAATTATAAAACATCGTAACACATTTTATCACGATTGTTGTTGTTTTATTGTTAAGTACTAAGATACATAATGGACTACCTGTTTGTGTCTACCACGGGTATCGAATCCCGGTTTTTGGCGTAATAAGTTTTCAGACTTACCGCTGAGCCTCTGGTCGTTACTGTTCTATTTTTCGGTGGCTATTAATTCGAATCGATAATAATTGATGGAAATATTTGAAATCAATCTTGAACAAACTATACACGTAGACAGACAGCTATGTAGATATTAGATTACTGAATTAAAAAATAAAGGCATTTTTTTAAAGTAATGACTAGGTAGATGAGTAAAAAGTAGTTCACAGAAAATAAAGGCAGTTTTTTAACGTAATTCTGCGCATAAGTGAGAACGTATACCAAACTTTTATATTTCTCTGTTGGTTTAGACACGTGGCAAGAAATGAGCGTTCCTTCCTCTCAAACATCAATTGTCATTCACGGACTTCTTCCCGCCACAACTTACAAGTTGCGTGTTTTTGCCGAGAACACTGTTGGAAAGAGTAACTACAGCGCCATCTATACGACAGAGACGGAAGAAGAAGGTAATTGGAAATAATGAAAGGCGTTTAGTTTTTTTATGTTCTTTGTATGTTCATTATTACGTCTAACATATGGAACAAGTGCAGTTTTATAATTAAGAATACAACAGCTAGTGCCATCTATTCAACAAAAACAAAATACAGTATTAAGTTTCAGGTGTTCATTAAAATTATTTTATTGTGCACGGGGATTTCGATATATCAAATATTTCGATGATGAGGAACTCACTTTGAGACTAATAATGGCTGGAGACGGCTTGAATGGGTAATGAAGAAAAAGTTTAATATAACAGCAAATGTACAAATACCTGATGATG